AGTCAAGCCCACCACACATTGTGAGCGCTGCACAAGATTTAAATGTTTGTTTGTTTTCCATGCAGTCCATTCTGTCTGTCTGTTATAATCCTCATTGACCACTGGATGAATTTTAATAAAACCTTCAGAAAGTAATAACTGAATGCACATCAACAACTCTTTAACCGTTGAAGTCAACCTGGTTCAAGATGGCCACTGAAGCCARCTCACCTTATGATTACAAAAAATGACTATAATTCACTTAATGTTTCAGATGTTGAGATAAAATCTGGAGTGGTTCAAGCTAAGACGTATTCATAAAACCATTTCACATGCTCCTCTTTGCACAAGATCTTTGCTTAAATTTTGCCATTAACTGATGGAGTCAGCCTTGTTTGTCCATTAGCAAAATATTTCATGAACCACTGGACAGATCTGAATGAAACTTTTAAAATGTAAACACTGGTTGTACATCAGCTCAGTACTGGAGTCGACCAAGTTCAAGAAGGCCACTAATTAAGCTAAATCTAAACAGACATGGCTGCAATTAGGTCAAATATTACAGAAATGAGCTAAAATTTGACGTGGCATTAGGCGAGATCCTCTCTGAAACTCTGAGCATGATTTCTCACAACACCACATCTGCTGATTATTTTCCAGATTTGACCAAAACTGCAGGGAATTCATCATTTCTCAACAAAAGATGATCATAGAGTTTAAAGCTCTGGCATGAWAGGCGGCGGGCGATAGGCATTCTTTCAGAAAATGCTACGTCACAGATTGTAAAGATGCTTTTAAAACATTAAAAATTAAGTTTGGTCCTCTTTAGACCTCCCTGGCTTGTTTCGGCACACTTCCACCTTCTAAATATACATTTTTATTAACAGAGCAGTTTACAATCTGAGCAGTTTCCCCGCTCCTTCGTTCGTCTTTCTCTCGTTCTGATGCCACAGCCATGCAGACACCTTTCACTCTTGCTGACTCAGTAGTCAGCCTCAGGCGCTGTAGGCTCGGGGTGTTGGTGGCAAGAAAAAAGGAGGGGAGGGTGGGGAGAGCGAGGCTCCCACATCAGGCCCAGCCAGCCTATCACATGCGAGGGAAAAGAGCTGGCTAATCGTTTCTACAGCAGTACACTGTCACACARCACCACAAACCTCGCAAACACTTCCACTGTATTATTCCACTGTCGCTTGGAAGGCCACATGTGATGTGTGCAAGAGCACAAACACACAAAGAACCGCTTTGTTCGGAGGAACCGCACCTCCTAAAATCTGTGAACATGTGCCGCTCGGAGCACGTAGGACTTGAAAAAATGATGCGACGCAAAATGTTCGACGTGATGCAAGATACTTCAGTCTGCGTGGGATTTAGGTTGGGACATTTTTAGTTTGTTTGAAGATGTGATCTAACTGTGTCTTCTAAATATATTAAATATCTATTAGTAAGAGTACAACATATTTAACTGAACTGCTTTGTCAAGTATTTCAGGAAAACAAACATTTGAGCAGATTTGCTGTTAAACTCAGGCTTTGACCCTGCTGGRCAGTTGTTTCCTGTCTGTGTGTATTGTTAGCAAAATATCACATAAACCAGAGTAGGGTTGGGCTTAATCATATTGTGTGCAATTAATCATCAGAAAAACATTAATCAATTATTTTTTGGCACTTGATGATTAATACGATTAATGCCACCAGGCAGAGTCCACTCCTCTCCGCTTCAAGTATGACGAACATTTAAAAAAACGCTCTGTAATTTATTTATCTGTTGACACAATTTAAAATTTGATGTATAACCTGAAGTCTGTAATTTTGACACAATTTGGAACTGATTTTTATGAAGAGCAAATCTTTCCCACTAAATTGGTYATGTGACTATGAAATAAGGGTGTCCAGGGACTCCAGGGGATTAATCGTAAAATTAATCGTTATCGGCTAAATACCACAATTAATCGTGATTTTTTTTTTTTGCCAATATTGCCCAACCCTAGACGACTGATTTTAATTAACCTTTCTTAAAGTAATCATTTGATGTACCGGTACATACAACTTACTTTTAGATTTAATCCCAGCCCACTAACATTTAAAGCCACAAAATGTAATTCAGTCAATTTTGCAGAAATTGAGCTAAAATTTTCGTGTGGCAGTAACTGAGAACACTTGAAGTGTGACTCACTGACGCTGCGGTAGCTCAGTGGTCAGTGCTGTGACCTCACAATCCTGAGGCTGCAGGTTTGAGCCYATWTGACAGAAAAAAAAAMCCATATCAAATCTACACTGAAAAAACTGTCCCTCTAACCAAGTCTTTCATTCTGAGATCCAGACAAAAGTATTTTTCATCATGTTTTAAAGCTGATATACTAAGCAAGAGCAGAATATGTTAGATCAGAGGTTCTCAAACTGGGGTCCCAGGACCCCCAAGGAGTTCATGAGCAACATATTAGGGGTCCTCAAAAAAGTTTTCTTATTTTAAAACTTGCATATAGGAAACAATGCACTTGGAAAACAAACTAAACCAAACAAAAACTAATATTACCATTGCAATTAGGGGTTAAAATGACAGTATTTCAAAAAGAGAACAGGGTTTATAAAGGGTTCCCCAGATCCTTGTTTCAAGAAGTCTTACAAAGTCCAAAACTACTGCACTGAAAGATTATTTGACTTAATTTGAGAAGATTCTAATTTTTACAGTTTATTCTGCAAAGRTTGTTCGCTTTGGGGATCCCTGAAGAAGGGAGAAAAAACAACAACTCCCTGCACTAAATGTTGGAGTCAACTCTGCCAGTGTGTTAGCAAAATATCTCATGAACCACTGGACAAATGTAATGAGACCTCCAGAAAGTAATCATTAGATGAGGGTCTGCAATCTTTTATAGTCGGTCTTAAAACACTAAAATAATTTAGTCAGTTGTGTTGATGATAGTTTGGCAGCTGAGAGAAATTTAAAAATCATTCTTTCAGCGTCACATCTTCTGTCACATGAAATCACGCAAAACATTATTTTCAAGGTTTGACCAAAATGTCTCCAGCGTTTCTCCAAAGAAGTTGATATTAAAAAAATAAACATTTAATTTTTTGTGTTACTTATTTTGATAAAAACCTAGCTGAGAAAAAAAATTGTGTCAAACGTCTAACGTAGAAGGCAGAATGTTCGGCCTCTAATGTCTTAGATTTAAACATATAACAATAATAATAATTTGTCACAATGAAAATATGTTAATTAAAACGGCTAAAATATATTTTTAAATAAAATAAAGTTTTAGTTATCTCAGTAATGTTTAAGTGAGGCAGCCTCACTGCCTTTAAATCAAAAAGGAAAGTGTTTCTGCACCTGTGCTCTGTTCCCACCACACAGCTGAGGTCAACCCTGTCAGGAGGAGGAGGAGGAGAAGGAGGAGGAGGAAGGGGTCACACATAAAAAAAGGGAGCTTGTGTCCAGACTGAAGCCACCTGCCCACCTCAACTCTCACAGGAGGGGAGTGAAAAGTTACAAAGTCTCCTGTGACAGTAAACCACTCTGAGCTTTYCAGCGCAGAGGTTATAAAGTCACAATGTAACCACTTTTCAACCATTATCACCCTGACCTTGGACCTATTACGGTCATCCAAATATTATTCTAGTCATGAGCAGGGAACCAGCCAGGGAAGAAGCTTCGAGGATTAACCCAAAAACAAATTAAAAGCAAAAAAAAAATAAAAACCACAGACGGGAGTGAGAAAATTCCTCAGGAGCCAGTGTCAGAGGAGCGCTGTGGTTGTTGTTCCTCACTTCCTCTGTCGATGAACGCAGAGGTGATCTGTTTGTCTGAGGAAGAGAGCAGAGGGGAAGCATGATTTCCACTCCGTTTTATCTGTGCCCCGCAGCCCCGGACGGTCACCCMCCTCCCCTTCACCGTCCCAGCCCTGTGCTTTCACATGCTGGGGTCTCACAGGAAGCAGCACTCCACAGAGGGGCAAAGGTCAGGGAAGGACCATTCACCACTGACGCTGCTGACACACACAAACATGCCCAGCTTCTAACAAACAACTGAAATACTTCTTCCTTTCATATAAAAGTAGAAATGAATGTTTGCGTGGCAAATGTTTCACTTTAGGACTTAAATGTGTGCCGTCACGTCTGCCCTGTGATGGACTCCACCAGTCCAGGGAGCACACCCCGCCTCTCGCACAATAACTGCTGGTGACAGACACCAGCTCCTCCACCACCCTGAACGTCCAAGTGGCTAAATGAAATGAATGGACGGAAGGTTATTTGTCTGCAAATTGCATAAATGACACAAAACTGGGTGTCATTTGTCAGCTACTTCCTGTTTTTTTTGCTGTTTTTTTTCCAGTTTCAGTTAAGACCTGTATTTATTGGATTTGACAAACAACACTTTGAAGGTTGTGGGTTTTTATAAATCAATTCAAAATCAGTGAGTTTGGATTGCGATTAAAGTTCTGTAGAGTTATAAACAAATAGCCTGAAAATAAAATGACAAGATTTTTTTTTTTTCCATTCTGGGCCACCCTCTGAGAACCACCACTGCACCAGTCAGCTTCTTCGCATACAGCTTCACTGTGCAAAAATTATTATTTTATTGTTTTATGTTGTGCACTAGACAGTAACTGTGTTGGAAAAGACTGTAAAATGACAACAAATTAACTAACTGTAACGAGAAGACAAAAATGTGCATGTGGATAGATGTCACAGCAGCCTATTTGTTGCGAGAAAATAATTTTTCAGCCGACGGGGACACAACTTTAAAAAGTCACAAAGGGTTTATTGATTCATAGCAAATGAAATAAAAACAGGTTTAAAAATAATCTGCATTGCTTATTCTTTCTTTTCTTTTTTTAATTTTTTTTTGCACAATCATGTGTTATATTTAAAGGAAACAGCAAAACGTGTCTGTCCAGCAGAATCAGCTCTGCAAAATGCATCATTGGTTTGGGTTCTTGTCCTCTTTTTTTTTCTCAGAAACACACACACACACACACACACACACACACACACACACACACACACACACACACACACACACACACAAATAAAACACTAAATTGAGCAACAAAAACTAAAGCAAATTAAAATGATCCAAAAAATAAAAATAAAAAAAGAAGGTCAATCAAGAAGTAAAAGGATTACATGCACATGAAGCAAATATTCTCTGATTTCAAGTATCTCCTTTCAGTCAAAATACAGATATTTTTTTAGGGCGGTATAAAATAAAACGTTCATACATGTCCAGCATGCATGCTTCACCTCACAACTCCTGCTTCTGTGAGGCTTTCAGTCTTTTCTCTCTGCTGTAAAAACTCCATGAGGCCATGATGGTTTGTTTTGAACCCTCACATGGAGTACTCGGGTGAGGACGGGGTGTCACTGGTGGACCCGGTTTCGTGGTAGCAGTTCGCCCCGGACAGTTTCTCACATTTCAGTTTGTACGCGTCCCTCTCCCGGATGAGCCTGCTGAGTTCGTGTTTCAGCTGCTCCACCTGTGACACCAGGCTCGTCTTCTCGTGCTCCAGGATGTGCTTCTGCTGCACGCGCTTGTAGCGGCACGACTGCGCGTAGCCCCGGTTTTTCAGGGTCCGGCGCTTCTGCTTCAGACGCATCACCTCGTCCTTGCTGAGGCCCCGGAGCAGCCGGTTGAGCTCCCGGACCGACATGTTCACCAGCTGCTCGTCCGARAACAGCGCGTCGGCGTTGGAGCGCCGGTCGTGGCGGCCGTGCGGCTGCTGGAGCTGGTGGTGCGCCCCGAGGACCTGCTGCTGCTGCTGGGCCTCCGGGGACTGGGGGCACGGGCTGCCCAGCTCGTCCTTCAGATACGGGTCTTGGCAGTGGCTCGTGGGGATGCCCTGCATGTCGGGGTGACCCGGGAGGCCCGGGTAGTGCTGCTGGACGGGCTCGTTCAGGTACCCGTCGTAGTCAGCCTGGAAAGCCTGCGGGTGGTGGCCGTGGTGGGGCGCGGACGGGTGACCCTGCTGCGTYGTCGTGGCGCCGATCAGGGCCTCCATCGCGTCCTCCGGGGTCAGGCCGAACGCCTGGGGGTACATCTGGTGAGGGTACCCGCCGTTGTTGGGTATCCAGAACTGGTCGCTCCCGGGGTTGTTCCTCTGCTCGTTCGGGATGACGTTCGGCGACGAGGGGACCGAGTTGCACGGCGTGCTGCCCGGGGTGGAGGACACGGAGTCGGGTCTCTGGAGCGCGCCGCACGGCCCGATGTAGGAGCGATCCAAGCCGGGCATGGTCTCCTTCTTCACGCCGAACTTCATCATGTCAAACTCACCGACGAAATCCATGGGTGGGTTTCTGCAGAGCCCCCAGATCAGGACGATTAAAAAAAAAAAAAACTCGTCACGGAGCTCCGAGTGTCCACTGACAGTTCATACAGTCAGAGACGCACTCACGTGTGATATAAAAAGAAACAGTTCCAGACTTGGATGTTGGCTCAAAAAGCAAACATTTGCAATGAGGAAACAATAAATAAATAAATGTTTTAAAGTGCTCCCGGGCTCTCCAACTCCGCACAGAGTTGAGTTTGGTGCGCTGCTGGTTCGGGTTGAGGACCAGAGAGAAGCAGTGATTCCTAAAAACCCCTGAACGCACCTCYGCTGTTCAGGATGAAGCGCACTTTCCCTCATAAAGGCAGAGCGGGGCTGGCACGCCTTCCAGACTACACCTCCACAGAGCTGTCCAATAAAAACATGCTGAACTGGACGATTTGCATAAAAGCTGCTCTGAGTTTGTCCCCCACTAACTGATCCCTTCACTTTTATCTCCCAAATATCTGCCYGCAGCTCAGCAGGACGCATGATTTGGGCTGTTATATTCCTTTACTTTTCCCATATTTCACATTTAGACGTTTTAATCATACAGCTTGTGTGTACAAAACTATGAGTTAAGTTATTTAATAAACTCAGAACTTATTTAAAAAACTTTAAATTAAAACTTTTTTAAACTTAAATTGGGACTTTTGTTTTTACCTTGTATTAATGTTAACAGTCTGATTTTACTAAAAACAAAAGGCACCAAATCTCTGAACTGAAAAAGTCMGTGGTTTCTGGTTTTTCTCATTATAAGGCTGGTAAATGCTGACATCTTGTGGCAGAAATGAAGGTGTCCAGAAACCTGCAGGAACAGACTTGTTGAGCTGTAAGTGAACTGYATGTTTACCTTCCAGAGGTGTCAAGTAACTAAGTACAAATACTTTGTTACTTTACTTAAGTAGTAGTTTTGGTTATTTATACTTTAGTGGAGTAATTATTTTTCAGACTACTTTTTTACTTCTTACTTTTTAATTCAATTATCTGTACTTTCTACTCCTTACTTTTTAAAAATGCAAAAAGTATTTCATTTCTATTTAACGTTGACTTGTTTTTATTCCATCTTTTCATTGTTCAGGAAAAAATTAATAAATATAAATCTATCCAGACACATGGAGCCCATGGTAGAGTGAATTTGATTGTGGTTGATGAGAAGTGTAAATATAAGTGTAAAAAGTGTAAATATATACCATTCTGACATCCTATTGGACTGAACTCACTCCATCACACCAGTGTAGTAGTTTCCCTTCACTGCTACGTCTAAAATTTCTCCCATAGACAAGGATTTCTTTGGGAGGATTTTCGTCCAATCAGAGAACAGAACGTAGATTTTCTGCACAGTGTCTGCTTGTAGTTTATTTCACCTGGGCCAATCAGAAAACAGGAGGCAGAGTTTTGAACGACATCAATTTTCTGCGCAGTTTCTGCTAGTTATTTTATCAATGGCAGTGGAGGAAGTGAATGAAGCCAGTCAATGTTGATAAGGCTTCCAAATTAAATTAAATTTGTCTGACAAATAGGGCTGCTACGATTAATCGATTAATCGACAACTAATCAATTATTAAAATAACCTATGGCTAATTTAATAATCGATTAATCGTTTTCTTTTTTTTTTTGTTCTTTACTTTGTTTTTCTCTCCAAACTGCTTTGACACCTTCCACTGCCACATCTGCCTTTCTGTCCTTGACACACATGCACAGTAGTGGTA